CCTGGTATTTCCACCCATGCAGAGATTTACATGGCATGAACTTATTTTTAGTTAAAGTGAATGTAAATATCTAGAAGAATTTAAAAAATGAATTCCTAGACATATTTAGGAAGTGGCAAGAGGGGCTAGGACAGCTGATCTAATATTGTTTTGAGACCAAGCATTGCAACACATCCAGCATTCATTCTTGAGAAATGGGATGCAGAATGATGCTTAGCCCTACGTGTGCCTCCCTCCACCCCACTCCACTATGGGCTCCGTCCTTTCTGAACTCACACTGATATCCTAGGGAACACAAGCAAATCGACTGTAAAACAGATCTGGAGGGGAGGGGAAGGGATTGGGATGATTAAATTAATCTGCATGGCCACTGCCAATAAAAATGATTTTGCATTTTATATGACTATTGATTCTGTATGCAGACACACACCTAGTTCCCATTCAGAGGCCGGGCTGGCTTGGAATGTACAATGCACATGGGTGCCTGTCCTACTGCCTCACAGAAAGACTAGGCAGCACTTTGCTAAGCCAACACCCACAAAGTGCTCCTCCCCTTAGGTATGAACAGTTTAACCCAGAAAAACACCCAGGAAAGATGCAATCACAAAACGAAAGGAGCAATCATACCTCAAGTGGAAGTTTATGATGCTTTGGTTCACAATGAACATTAGTCTGTCCTACTAATGTCAGGCAATAATTCACTGTTGAGAAGCTGCCATAAAATATGATCACTTGGTGAAAGAAAAGAAAGAGCTAGAGAAAAGATTTCAGCAGAAATATGTAAACAACAAAATCTTGTCTTTCTGACACAACACTGACCTTGTTACCCCAAATTAGGTCAAAGGTTTTCAGATTTATAGCAGCATCCTAAAGCAAGTCCAGGTGGTATATGCCTTATGATTTTCTCCTGAAGTTGAAATATGGGGGTGGGGGGTACTGGGGATCGAACTCAGGACTTTTCACTTGCAAAGCAGGCAGTAGAACCACTAAGCTAAATCCCCAACTCCCTGAAGTTGAAATTTTAATGGTCAATGAGTTATTTCTAAGTTCTTCCGAATCTCCTGATGACTGTAGCATTTATATGCCACATTTCTTAATAGTACATACCTTTAACACTCGCCATCAGAAAAGGGATGCCAATCCCATCCATAACACACACACACACACACACTACAGCAGAAAACATAAAAGCCATCCAAATTGTCAGTTTCCTCACCTCCTTTCCCCTTGCCTCACATGATGTGTGTATTCAAGGAGTGAAATTATGATCACTAAAGGCAAGGTTACAAACAATAGGGACCCATACCTTTCAAACAAAATGAAAAGTCAGTAATTTTGAGAGCAGCCTATGGCTAGCTCCAATCTAGCTCCTGGGCCCCTAAAACCCATAGCGAACTCCTTTACTCTCAGCAAACTCCTAAATCCCCTCCCACCCACTCTGCTCTCTCTAAGTCCCTTGTCATGCTGCAGAGAACTCCAAAAAGCCCTTGATACACACAGGAGATTATTACAGGGCTCAGAGATGCCAACTCTGTAATTACAGCTACCCTACGATTTCCATTATTCTCATGCTCTGGGCTCAGTTGCTCCCAAAACTTCGCAGCAAAACCTTCCCAGACCCCTGAGCTTGTCGAGTCTGGGCCTCGGCCAAAAGGTGGCCATGGACCTGATAACCTCCGGGAAAAGCAAATCGGAGTTATTTCAAGGAAAGGGGTGTGGCACTCAGTGAGCTACGGATAGTGGGAGATTCCATTGTCTAGAAAAAATAAGTAAACAGACCACTTTCACTTTTTATTATTTCAAACAACAGATGTGGCAGGCAGCCCAGCCCAGCCTTTCTTTCCCAACTCAGACTCTCCCCCTGGGCTGGCTGTGCTGAACCTGCAGAAGTGGTCATCGGGCTTGAGCAAAACTATTAAGAGAATTCCACTCTAAGCCCATGGAGCAGAAAGTTTGGCTGCCTTGATGGCATGGCTCCCCCCAGGAGGACTGACAGCTCATTCCCCTCACACGACCCCTGTAGGCTTAGCTTTCAGATGTTTATGCCTCACCAGTCCCACCGATACTCTGGAAATTAAATGTAATGTCCCAGGTGGCCACAGGAGAATTGTTCTTAAACAAACCCACCAGAGGAAAAATGAGAAGTGCCAGTGCATGGCTTAGAAAGCCCAAGACTCCCTGGCAGGTGTTGTCTGTCACCATGTGCCTGGCTCTGCCCCCACCTGTCCCATGAAGGTTTCTGATGGCGAATATGCTCACCCAGTTTCCTGGGGTATTTTTGTCCCCAGTCATGGAGATGTGCTGTGCTTGGCTTCTCTGATAGGGGATAGGGTTCCACAAGGGACAGCACCAGCCTCTATTCCACCCAGGAACACACAGCACACATCTTGGAGATGACTGTCCCAGGTTCATAGTGCAGCCATGACCAGGAAACAGGTATTTTTTCCCCAATAACTGTCATTTCTGTTAAGTGCACTGAACTCTCAATGTTCATTTCACTGACACCATTTTCCAACCAGCTCAGACAATGAATGACAAAACATAAATTCTCCTCCAAGGTCTACTCTGTCTTGCCAGCAAGTACATGATCTTTTGAGAGCTGGTAGGAAATTTGATGGGTAGGAATCTTTTAGGGCAATGGAGGAAGTAAATTCTCCATGGCATGGATACTGGGCTCACAGGGGAAAAGAGTCCCAGTACCTCAAAGTGCTGCCTATTATTGAGTCTCAGTAGTGCTTCTTCTCCCTTAAGAGCAGGCAAAGTTGCTCAAGAGTTGTTCCATTGTATGAGTTGTATATGGTAACTGGGTCAGTCAGGTTCCTATCACCATAATGAAACCCTTCAGAAAATTCACTTATAAAGAAAAAAGTTTGCTTTAGCTCAGTTTTGGAGAGTCTAGTCTAAGGTGGGTTGGCTCCATTGCTCTGGCCTGTGGTGAGCCACCACAACCTGACAGGAGTGTGTGGTGGGGTAAACTCACTTATATCATGAGCCAAGGAGCAACAGAGAAAAAGGAAGGCACTAGGGTCCCACAATCCCTTTCAAGGGCACGCCCCCATTGACCTGACCACAGGACCTCCCAGTGGGCCCCACCTCCCAAAGGTTCCACCATCTTCCAATAGTGCCACCTTGGGGGCCAAGTTTTTAACACATAGGCCTTTGGGGGACATTCAGTATCCAAACTATGACATTAATGCCTTTGGGATTTAGAATTCACTTTTCCAGCAAACTGAAATCACTGAGTAATAGCAAAAAACAGAACCATCTAAACAACCAACAGAAATGTCCACCAGGTCCATGCCTGCTCAAAAGCTTCTGCAGCTCTTTCCTCAGTATGTACTTAGGCTCTTTGGATACAATTTCAGAAGAGTTTGTTTTCTGATTTCCTAGCCCACTGAGAACTAGAAGCTGCAGACTGAGGGAGGACCAGAGTTTTGAAAGCTAACCCATGCTTCCCCCAGCAACCAGGAAGTGATGAGTAAGGACATACATTAGAAGAAGAACCAGAAAGGCTGTAACAATCAGACACAGGAGCTGTGGGTGGACAACACACCCACACTTCCAAGCACCGTCTCTAGGGGTCCAAGAAGCTCAGTTGAGTGTGTGAGTAAATATCGTAAAGAGCCACAGCTGCAAGAAATGGTTCAATTATATTTACTATATCCTTTGAAGAAAGGGCAAGGACCTGTGAAATATAATTCCTGAAGATATGTAGACAATGAGAAAATTCTCTTCCAGCTGTGACACTGAAGGTGGTACACTACGATGAGGTGCACGCTTCCTAGGCGCTATGAGAGGCAGAGTGAACCACACACATCATCCTCACAGAGGCCACGGCTTCAGCAGGGTATGTGGTTTTCTTATCCAGGTATTACTCATATAATCACTCTAGATGCACATTCCCCCACTCACACTGCTCCCTGCCTCTTGCTCTCCACACTGTCACAATCCAGACCTATTTCCTGTGCTGGGAACATACTAAATCCACAGAAAAAAATGATTGCTGGGATGTTACACATTAGGATAATAAAATACACAGAGCCTTCCAGATTTGCACAGAATATTTCCCTTCGCCATTTGGAGCTGATGCCCAGAAATGCAGCAAAGGAAAGCATAGGGATCAAGGTTCAGTCTCCATCAAGCAATGTCTCTTCACTTAGTCTAATTCACACAATGTCCAAAGACTCTCAAAGGAGGCCTAAAGAATACAAGTAGGACTCCACATGGAATCAGCAACATTTCCTAGGAAAGGGCTGAAGTACAGCTATTGGCCAACAGAAAACAGGACCTACAGTTTACAGTCTTAGACTCTTAATCCTCATCAAGGAGGGGATGTTATGGTGCCTGCTCCATCTCACTGAGATGAGAACACTCCCAACACTGCCAGCGGGCCAAGATCACTTAGTGTCCCAGGGGCCAACCAGATTCTGTGGTACAGGGAGGACAGGCCAGATGCTTAGACCACATTACTTCATTCTACCTTCAGCAATTCCTATGCTCCTATGGCATCTATGGTTCTTTGTCCCACAAGTTGGCTCTTAGCTCCATTAGCAATTCTAGCAGGTCTGTACATTCCTCCATCTGTTCCCTGAATGGATACCAGATGAATGCACCAGCCAGAAGGGTTGGAGTAAGAGGAACAGGAATGCCCCCACCCCCACCTTCCCCAACCGCTAGACCTAATAAAGCCTTCGCCCTAGGGCTCAAGTCTCAGCTGAATAGACTACACCATTTGGAATAACCTAATGAGGCAGGGCTAACACATCTCCTGTGCACGCCAGCTCTAGGAAAAGTGAATGCACAGGTCATGGAGCCTGATTCCCATAACAACCTCAGCACAAAGGCAGAGAAAAGATTTACATCCATAGCAGCATATCTCAGCTCAAACAAGTCCTAGCAGCCCACAAGGCTCAAAGCATTAACAAGCCATGAGATAACAGCCATCACCTCAGGGACAGATTTTCTTCACAATCATCAAAACAACTGCACCTCATTCCTACCTTCTTCAACTTGCCGCTCTTGGTGCCCACAAAGGCCAGAGAGTGATTCTTGTAGACATATGCGATGATGGAAGTCATGCGGTCCCTGTCCTCCGTGAAGACGGGAATGCCTCGCACCATCTCAGACACTCCCAGGGGAGCATTCATATCCAGGCCACAGAAATTATCGTCAATGGTTAAGAGCTGAAAATTAAAGGAGAGAAAAATTAGGAAGGTGCATCAGGGCAGTTGTCAGGAGTATGAAGTCAGGGAACTCTAGAGCTAGAAGAATCTTTAGTGATGCATCCTCTGATACAAATTCTCCCCTTTGCATGTGGAAACCTCAATTGCAGAGAGAACAGGTAGCCTGTCCACAGTTATCTAGGTGGATACCTGCAGGACTATGGCAAAAAACACAGATTCTGACAATCTCTGTTCACCAGACTCCCTTGACCCCCTGGCTATACTCTAATCTTTCCAAGGCACCACCTTGGTGGCTTTGATTGCCCATTGTCACTGTCACCTAGAAAAGCAATAAGCCAGCACCTGACAAGTATGGGCTCCAGACAGCTCTGCTGAGGCACAGGAGGGAAATGGTCTTCACACTTGTACTCTCCAGTGGAGCACACATCCAGTGAGGACTCAAAAGAGAAAAATTAAGACCAGATGCATGAATGTGAATCATAGAATCATGACAAAGGCTATGGACAAGGGGCTGGTGAAAGGAAGAACCTCCACTCATCAGATCACAAGCAGCAGCTCATGAGACCACTCTCGGGCTCCCTATCTGTTAGAGCACAGCAGTCTTAGGGCAGTCTTAGCTTTGCCATGTACACACTAGCATTTCCCAAAGTGCCATTTGTGAAACCCAAGCTCCCCGGGATGCTCCACACAAGAGAGCTCTCTGGGCAAACTCCTGGAAAACATCCTAATCTATATAGGAGAATCATGATGGAAGTCTCTTTAAAAAGAAATACGTTTAAACTTCTTTCAGCCTTCCCAAATAGTTCATCCCCAAATCATTATTGAGCAGAATACCTGTCAGCATTCCCTGAAGAGACTACTCTGGAGATAACCTGTGGGATGCACCAACCCAACTCTTCTTCTAACTCCAGGAAGTACAACCTCAGGGGTTAGGAGTCAGCAGGGAAAGCTTCAGGGCCAGTTCTTTACAATGCCTTCACTCAGTCTCCCCCTGCTCCACATCGGATCTCCAGCTCCCAATGTCATAGCCAGATCCCCATGGAAAACAGGGGTCCCTGTCAGGTTCTATCAAGCCAAGGAGTGTGCAGACCCCCATGGTGACAGGTGAGGAGCCTGTAGCACTCCTTACCAAGGAGAGAAGCCTCATCGGGAACTTATTGGACTTCCCATCCTTTCTTGGAAGTACTGTGTGACCTCAGAAAAGTTATTCTGTCTTCCTGTGCTTTTATTTTCTGCTCTATAAAGGTGAAGGAAACAATCCCTGCTTTTTGATGGGCTACCATAAAGCCTATTGAGCTCGGGCCCAAAAACATCTTGGACCTTTCAGAGAAAGGAGTGAAATAAAATACAAGGTGTCACTTTTTTAAAGGCTCCAATCCAGCCAAAGCAACAGGCATCTGGAGAACAGCAGGCAGGCTCTTGCCAGCACAGCCGTGTGAAAGTGGCCAACTCAGCTCTCCAGGGCCTAGGGCTTCTCTGCTGTGTTCCAGAAAGGGAGGGAGACAGGCATCATCCAACTCAGGGAAGGGAATGTACTGAGCATCAAAAGCTTCCTCTGATCGCTGCCTTGCTTCTTCCCATGGTAAGGCAGTCCTGGTGCATGGGGGTAAGGGTGGGCAGGCCTGGGCAGGCAGGCCATGTGCACAGCAGATGTCTGCTTCATGCCTTTGATAGCCTCTGGCTTCTTCTACATCATCTGGTCCAACATCCCAGAACAAATGCAACTCTCACTTCTCCCACTAACCACAGGAGTCAAGTTTAGGAGGGATTTTTGAGGTCTACTCTGATGTTTACCATTCATGCCATACTGAGGACATGGGAAAGAGTCAGGTAGTGGATGGGAATGGGATGGATAGAAGGCAGGAATAGAAGGCCCAAGTTAGGGAAGGTGATGTCCATTCCTTGCTGTTAATGGGGCTAGAGGAGGGATATAATGGCAGCATTCTAACAGCTGTGACCAGGGAAGCCTAGGGTGCTGGAAATCCTCTTGGCCCTTGAATATTGGCTGCTTTTGGCGTACAAAAAAATCTGCATTTCTAAATTTCTGGGGCCTAAACTGTGCTTCAGGAAGTCTGGCATCAGCAAACTTTGTACTTGATCCATTATGACCCATTTTCCGAGTAGAAGAGACAGAATAATTATCTACCCTGAATAGGGGAAACTCGAGCAGGGAGAAACACCCCAAGTTGCATAGTCCCACACTGTCCCTCACAAATGCGCACTCCTCATTATTGTGGGTGTGGTCAGCCCTCTCACCCCCTGAATTGCATTTTTTTAGTTCCCAACACAATTTTTCCCCTTGGCTTGTCAAGACACAAGCAAATCAACCACCTACAAAAAGAGAACATGAATTTGGGAAACTGCACCACTAAATCATGCTTACTCTGAGGCAGAAAGTCAGTGACCTGTGAGCCCCTTTCATGCAACCCGGGTTTGGCTGAGGGATGTTTTCATCAGAAGGAAGTGAGGACAGCCATTCCTTACAGCCTGGGTACAGGGCCTGGCCATCTTCAACCCATACAGCTCTCTACCAGGGTCCAGCAGGAGCAGGGGCTTGGTCTCCTTGGCTGTACCATGACAGCTACCCAGATCCTTGCCTACCTCAGCTTGTCACTGGGCTTAAATGATGCAAGAGATGCAGCTGGGATTCATAAAATGGCCAGGTCAATGACATCTTTCTTCCCAAGCTTCCTATGGCTCTCCTTCCCATGATTTCTCCTTCCCAATGATGCTACAGGAGATAAGGATGTGATCCAGGCATGTGACTGAGCACAGCCCAGGACTGCATGCATGCTGAGGTCCCCCTACTGTAGCAGGAAGTGGCTTTATTCCTTGTTTCCTCAAAGCTAGGGAGATGGGTGTAGGAGTGGTGGAAATATATCACAGGACAGATGAGGTGACAGAAAAGGCACCTGTGAACAGGAAGCACTTCAGCAATGGAAGATATTGCGTGTTGATTTCTAGTGGAGATCCTGCCCAGAACTAGAAGTAGAGTGGCTGCAGGGAGTGGCCCTAGCTTGCTGTCTGAACTGCAGCCACTGGTAATGACAGCATGGGAGGAAGGACCCCAGGCCTTACAGATCCAGTAGGCAAAGGTAGAGAGAGCAGATTCTGGGGCCACCAGGCTTATCAATGAAAGCCTCAACAGGTGAGGGTGTGGATTCCTGAGCGCCCTGGGTGATGAGGGCAAGTGGCTGTACTTGCCCTGCCAGAGTCTTCCCCTGGGCCCCATTAACAGCAAGATGAGAGTCACAGCCAGAGGAGCCAGGACTGGACTCAGCTGTAATCAGGAGTTCAGCTGCGCAGGCCCAGGGCTAGGTTCCTCAGCCATTTCACAAACACCCATGGGTGAGTCATGGCCACCATCATGATGCTTATTAATTACAGAACAACTCTAAGGAAAGCACCTAAGGGTCCATCGTAAGGGGAACAAATGGGTGAATACTTGGGCAACCTTGTCAACAGACCTGCTGGGTTCCTTCTTCTTCTATCAGGAGGACATCCTGTATCTTTTTTCCACTTCCTCAAAGTCTTCATGGAATGCATGGGGCTGGGATAAATTAAGATGGATGATCCACTGTACTGCAGGGACCATGAGTTCAAGGATGGAGACCATGTTTTATGTATCTTCGTATGTTTAGCTTAGTGCCTGGTTCATGGCAGGTTAAGAAACATGTGTGGAATAGATGGATGGATGGATGGATGGGATGGATCGATGGATCCATGAATCAATGGATGGACCAATGGATCAATATTGGCTAGAAGGACAGATGGATGGCTAGATAAAACCTGGTTTCACAATGGATAACTGTAGAACTAGGTTTAAATCCTGTCGCTGCTAGTTATCTTGTGTGACCTTTAGAAAGTCACTTAACCTCTCTATTCTTCAGTTCATCATCTGTAGAGTGAGGATTATAAAAATAGTATATACTCCCTAGTGCTGTAGTGAAGATAAAATAATTTAATCTGTACAGAACAGTGTCCACCACTTAGTAAGTGCTATGAGAGTGTTAGCCTTTATTATTATCTGTTACCATTAGAAAAGTCAGATAAACCTTTTGAGTCTTGGCATCTGAGGAAATCCATCCTATCCATCTCAAAGGTATTATCAAGGTTAAGGGGGTGATGTTGTCAAGATGAAATAGTGAAGGGGATGCTTTTTTTGTTGTTTTGGGGGGGGGTACCAGGGATCAAACTCAAGACCCTTCACTTGTGAGGCAGAGGATGGCACCACTGAGCTAAATCCCTGGGCCAAGGGGATGATTTTTAAAAGTCGGTCAAGATGAGGTAGATGAAGGAACAGAGAAACAGTCATTCAGATCTACAAGATAGAGCACTGCTCACTAGAAGAACAAATCCAAATCTGAGGCCCCACCCCATGCCCCCTCACTCCATCAGAAAGCCCGGGGCCATAGAACACCTGCATCTTCGCATCCCTCCAGGTGTGAGCTTAGGTTCAGGAAGCCTGTTCTCTAGCCCATGGTGGGCCCTTCATTGCAGAGAGTGGTAAGGAGCTAAAGCCCCAGCAGGACCTGGGTGCTGAGGGACCCTGTACAGCCTCCCCATGGCTAGCTGAGCAGCGGTGGCCTGGTGGGGTGGTGCGGGGAGCTGGAGCTGACACTCTGAATTACAATCTAATAGCTTGCCGTGCTTCCCTTGCGCACCGCAGCAAAGGTTACCATGCAATTACGTGTCGCTACATACAAATGACAGAGCAGTTACGGTTACTTTACCAATTACAGGGAAATTGCTCCCACTCTGCAGAGAGACTGGCACTCTGAAAAGCTCTATCATCTCCACAGAAAGGGGATTTTAAATACTGCCTGTGTCCTTCCTCTGGCAGTGTCCCCACGGCTGGGGGCGAAGGAGCCACCCAAGGAGGCCAGAAGTGTCTGGTGGCGTCTATGGAGACTCCTTGAGAAGAGCGAGAGGACAGGGTAAACCTGGGAGCTGGGTATCTCTCACCACCACCACCCCAACTCCGGACTTCAGTGTCAAGC